TATATATATATATATATTTACAAAGTATGTTTAAAAAGTCAGCAAATTTCTTTGTTACATGCTAATTTGAAGGAGCAGTAAGAGCATGTTATTATATATACGTGCTGGTCTTTATTCCAAAAATAAATATTCACCAGATGCATTTGTAACATTCATAACGTTATAATTCATTATACAAGCTCACAATATAATACTATTTGCTGCACAAAAAATTAAAGATAAAATACTGCATGTATTTATTTTTAAAATAAAGATTTTTTATCATATGATGACTTTGATGTTCCTTCAAATCGTTAGTACGCAAACAAAAAATTCTATTCTGTCTTTTTATCTCGTTCGCACACATACGAACACATACGCACGCACACACATACATAGTTAAATAACTAATAAAGAAGTCATAGTTGTAAAGACGATTATATTATAGGATCAAAAGTTAAATTAATACATTATTTATATTTGCTTAAAATGTAATAATAAAAAATATTTGAATTGAAAATGATAATTACGGTCTGTGTTATTTGCTGCACATTGTACTTGTACGCCAAACTTATTATTTATATAATGATTAACGAATTACAGTGAGATTCCTATCGAATGTTGCTCCTATCAATGTAATAAAAATTCAATTGATCCTAAATCCGCTGTATTCCTGTATCGATACAAGATTTTTGTCTTAACGATAAGCTCAATCTGGACCTTGTTGTATTTCGTTAGTTCTTTATATCTTTTTAGGATAAGCATAAAAACAGTACGATATAAATACATAATATTTAAAAATTGGGTCAGGAAAAATATTTAGGAAATTTTTATTTATTATTTTTTGCATCAAAAAACATCAATTAAATTATGATAGAGTAAGAGGATGGTTTGATAAAAGGGAACAAGTGTATATATATATATATATATATTTCTCGAATAAGATATAAGTGCAATAAATTCTTCAAAAAGTGATTGAACAATGTGGTCATGTATAGAAGTATTGAGAATTCGTATTTATTTTAGGCAAGCGCTTATGTCAATTATAGCTTTGCTTAAAGAATTTTTTGTTTAGTCCCATTTAATTGGTCTGTGTGATAAAGACAAGTATCTTAAGAAATTGTTTTCAAATAAATGTTTTAATTAAATTTCTCGATTTTTGTTTCGTTTTCATGGTATCGCATATAATGGTATATAATACGGTATACACATTCTTTTCTTATGAAT